CCAAGGGTGTGTGTGTGTGTGTGTGTGTGTGTGTGTGTGTGTGTGTGTGTGCAGGTATAGTTACAACATACCATGCTGCAAGCTGTGACCAATGCCAACACAGATAGCTTGGGGATTCCAGGGAAGAAAAACTCCCAGTGAAAATTAAATGAAGAATGGGAATAAAGTCAGGGAAGGTTTCCAGAAGAGAGGTCATTACAGAATCAACTCTGAAGGATGAACAGGAGTTAGTCAGGAACTCGGAGTGAGGGGTGAATGGGAGGATATGTCAGAGAAGACAAGGACAGCAGAACGGGGGAGTGGTGTGATCTCGGGGGTGTTGATGAGTTGGAGCACTGTGATTTGGGTTTACATTTCCCTAGTGGCTAATTATGTTGGCCATCTTTTTACATGCTTACTAGCTATAGTTTGTCTCTAGAGAAATGTCTACTGGAATTCTTCACTAATTTTAAAATTGGATTATCTTACTACTAAGTTGTAACTGTTCTTTACATATCATTATTATTTTTTAAATATTTTATTATTTTTATTTTATGTGTCTGAGTGTTTTACCTGTATGTGTGTAAGTGCACCACGTGTGCAATGCCCAGCAGAAGCCAGAAGAGGGCGTCAGAGCCTCTTGAACTGGAGTTACAGACAGATGTTAACTACCATGTGGATTCTGGGAATTGAACCTGGGTCCTCTGGAAGAACAGCCAGTGTTTTTAACCACTCCCCTACATATTATTTTTAAGGGATTTTAGCCTTATTTTTTTAATTTAAAAAGCCACATTCATTTATTTATGTATTTACTTGTTGTGTATGTCTATGTGTCGGAATGTGCACATGTGACAGTGTGCATGTGGAGTCGGAACACAACCCAAGGGAGTCGGTTCTCTCCTTCCAACATGTGAGTCTTGGGGATCCAACTCAGGTCATCAGACTTGGCAGCGAGCACCTTTACACAAAGCCGTCTTTCTGCCTCTCTTTATGTATTCTTTGTACAAATCTTTTATCTGACGTATGATTTCAAAGTATTTCCCTACATTTCATGTTTTGTTTTCTTTATTGATGATTTCCTTTGAAATATGGAAATTTTCATTGTTATGATGTTCCCTTGTTGTGTGTGTCTTTCCTGAGATAGGGTTTCCCTGTAGCCCTGGCTGACCTGGAACTCACTATGTAGACCAGGCTGGCTTTAAGTTCACAGAGATCTGCCTGCCTCTGTCTCTGCTTCCAGAGTGCTGGGATTAAAGAAGTGTGCCACCATGCTAGCTGCAAAGTTTTTTTTTATATTTTTATTGGATTGTATTTTGGTGTCATGTGCAAGAAATCTCTGCTTAGTATGAGATCTTAAACACTTACTGCCTTTTTAAAAAATTATTTGTTATTTTTATTTTATGTGTATGACTGTATTGCCTGCATGTATGTAAGTGTACCCATGTCAAGCAAGGCCAGCAGAGTTCAGAAGTGAGCATCAGATCCCCTGGAATTGGAGTTACAGATGGTTGTTAGCCCCTATGTGGGTGCTGGGAACCAAACCCCAGTCCTCTGTAAGAGCAGTCAGTGCTCTTAATAGCTAAGATACCACTCCAGCCTCTCTTATGATGTCTTCTACAGTGTTTTCTTATATTTAGTCCATGATCCATTTTGGGTTAATTTGTATTTGTGATGTGATGTTAAGTCAACAGCTTTATAGTTTTGTGTGTGAGTATCCAGTTGTGACACGCAAGAAAGAGTTCTCTTTTCTTGTTGAATTTGTCACCTTTGTTAAAAACCTGTTGACCAAGGTTAGAGTTTATTTCCATTTCTCTCAGTCCTGGTCTGTGGGTTTATATGTCTATCTTGTGCCAGTACTGCACCGTCTTACAACTTTGTATTCTTGTGGTACTGGGACTGAATCCCAGGGCCTTGCACATGCTATGCAAGCACTCTACCACCAAGCTACATTCCTAGCCCGTCTTGTAGCTTTGTAGTAAGATTTAAAATCAATTAACAAGTGTGAGTCATCTAACTTTGCACCTTATTTTCAAGACTGTTTTAGCTTTTGAGATAATCATGTGCATTTTCCCCTTTATTTTACTCACAGGGTAGTGTACTCTAAGTATGGTATTCCAGGTTTGCATTTCTGGGGTAAATCTTAGCCATAATGTTCAGTTCTATTTGTACATTGCTTGATTTTTTGCATTTATATTCTTAAGGGAAACATTTAGTAGTATTCAACATTGAAGCCTTCTAGACTGCAGCTTAATCCCAAGACCTTTATGGTGACTATTCTGATTATTGATTCAGTGATCTGTACTCATTATGTCTATAGAAGTTTTCTCTTTCTTCTTGAGTCAGTTTTAGTAGTTTGACCTTCCTAGGAATCTGTTTCATTGAATTTATGTAATTTGTTGGCCTATAACATTGACAGAATTCTTTTAAAATTCTCTTCATTTCTGTAGTGTCAATAATGATACCTCCTTTATTTATATTCTCTCTCTCTCTCTCTCTCTCTCTCTCTCTCTCTCTCTCTCTCTCATTGAGAATTGATCCCAGGGCTTGCACATTCCAGGCAAATGTTCTATAACTGAGACATGCCCCCAGTCTCTGGAAAGTTAATTAATTGGCTTGAGATTTTCTTTCTTTTTCTTTTTCTTTTCTTTTCTTTTTGTCAAGACAGGGTCTCCCTGTAGCCCCAACTGGCCTGAACTTGCTATATAGACCAGACTGGCCTTGAACTCACAAAGATCTGCCTGTCTCTGCCTCCAAGTGCTGGGATTAAAGATGTGTGCTACCATGCCCTAAGGTTTTCATTTTCTAAAAGGAGACATTTTCCTATACATTTCCTCCAAGCACTGAATTGGCTGTGCCTCATAAGTTTTGGGTTGTTATGTTTTTATTCCCACTCATCTGAAAATACTCTCTAATTTCCATTGTGATTTACTTGTTTAGGAGTACATTGTTTAATTTGTACATATTGATGAGTACTTCCATTTCTGTTATTATTTCTAATTACTCGTGGTTAGAGAACACACTTTTAAAAACCATTTTTTGCTGTTTTCTTTTGTTTTTTTCTGTTAGTTCTTGTAGCGGTTCTTTATGGCTTTTCTGAGCTAATTAGGTGAAACCCTTTTTCATGGTGATGCGCAGCCACAGGAGCTGCTGCCTGGCCAGCTTCGCGCTCACCTAATCACTGAACTGAGGTCTCCTTGCACCAGTGGTTTCCCCAGCTTTTGCTAAGAGGCTCTGTGAATGTATTGGGGGTGCATCTTCAAACCTCTTGCAGATAGTTTTCAGTTACATCCTAGCCTTCATTTCCTTTTCGGCAGAGTCTCAAGCTCAGCTGAGTGGAGCGGTCAGTGTACCCTCTGTTTCCCTGAGCATACGAACAGCTCTGCATCTGCACATGGCCTTTCTGTCGCCCTTTTTCTCACCAGCTTCTCTTGGCCCCTGGACTCTTCTTGTTGCCTCAGGCAGCTATAGTGTTGTTCAAAGCTTTGGAGCGAGGAGGAAGAGGGGTTGGTCCTGCAGGCAGATGGTGCCAGAAAGATCAGAGAACCACCTTTGTCTGGGGATGGCACTTTGAGGAGCTGTACAACGATTCTGCCCTCTGGAGTGGCTGTTGGACAGCTGCTTTTCACGGTACGGCGATGGTAAGGCTGTTGGTTTCAGTGGCTATCACTGAACTGAGGGGACAAACACAAAGCTAAGCACCAGCAGGCGTCTTACCAAGACTGAGCCTGGTTCAAGATTTTCTTTTCTTTTCTCTGCATGTAGTGGAGCACATGCGCATGTGCATGAGTGTGTATGAAAGCCAGAGAACGACCTCTGGGGCTCTTCCTTACATGCCATCCATATTTTGTTTTGAAACAGGATCTCTCAGCACCCTGGAACTCATCAAGTAGACTAGGTTGGCTGGTCAGAGAACCCTGAGGATCCACCCGTAGAGACGACAGGTGCTCTCTCCCCCAGAGCTCGGATCACAGTGTAGTCACGATGCTCAGTTGTTTTTTACATTGGTTCTGGGATCAAAGCTCAGCTTCTTGTGTTTGCAAATCATCTTTGCCGTTCAAGATTTCCTTGAATAAATATTTCTGAAATTGTTGGAAGGTTTGGGCTAATTTCTGGAGTCCTGAAAAGACTGTCTTTGACCCTATTTTATAATGTTCTTATTGTTTTTATAGCCAGCTAGACCTTCAGAAGTCTCTAATGCCATCATTTTGTTGTTGGGGATTTTACCTACTGGTTTTATATCACTGTTGTCCAAAGAACTGGGAAATGACCTCGGTCCTTGGGTGAAGTTGTCTAAGGTTAGGGTTGCCTCCCCTAGAGCATCTTCCCAAAGGACCAGAGGAAATATTAAGGAAATGAATGAAACCAGAGTTTGGAGAGAGGATAGTGAGCTTTGCAAAGGAGAGCAAAGCCGGTGACCTGGGAAGGGGAGGAATCAGTTTCATGGATTCTTTGTCTACTGAGGCTTTTATGGGCGCACTGTCCAGGATGTCCTGAGTCATGGGCTGAAAATTACACTTCACTTCCTCAGGCCAACCAAGAAAGAATTCATCACATTCTGTTACTGTTGGCTTTTAACTCTGGACTAATTAAAGGCTGTTTTGTGTGGTCTAAAACTCAGGATGGGTGTTTGAGATAGGCGATAGCTAACCGAATCTATTATTCTGAGTTCACCGTTTAGCTTTTGTTTGCTTTGGGTCAGAAAGGAACAAATAACAGCATCTGTTTTTGTCAGTCTACCTTTCAGATTTGTGCTTGGTTTGAAGCCCCCCAAGCAGCTTTTCTAGTTCACGTTAAGCCAAGCAGTGACAAGCAGTTTGAGGATTGTTTGCTGAAATGTTAGTGTTGGAAAGGTTTTAGTTGCCTTCTATGGGTGTGTTCATGTTTGTGTGTGTATGCACATGTGTGTTTGTGCACATGGAGTCCATAGGTGAGTGTCAGGTATCTTTTTCCTCTATTACTGTCCACTTTATTTATTTTTATTTTTTTTAATCTTTTTTATTTTTATTTTTATTTTTTTTCAGCCAGGATCTCTCACTAAACCAGAGCACACTAATCTGGCCAGCGAGCTCTGTCTTCACCTCTCTAGCCCTGGAACTACAGGTACATACTGCCGTGCCCAGCTTTTAGCCTAGGTGCTGGGGATCCAGACTCAGGTCCTAAGCACTTTACCTACTGAGCTGTCTCCACAGCTTCCTAGTTGCCTTTTTGAGAATCTGCCCTTTCCCTCAATACCCTTACCCCTTGCCTACCCTAACATTTCTTCCTATGCTTTCTGTCCTACATATTTGTTATAAAACACGGGCAGCTCCATCTAAATCATAAATACTAGTAGTGAACAAGCTTGGACCAGTACTAATCTGGTGAATGTTCTTGAACCAAACCCCATGTGTCCCTGTTAGTTACTAAGTGTTGGGCTGAAGAATTCAGTCAGCTAGCATCCCAACAGTCCCAGTTCATCCTCGTGTTATGCGGCCATTGTCCCGTGTGTTATAGAAAAGGGCAGCTTTTTTCCAGGTTCCTCTGCTTAGCTTTTCTCTTCTGACCCTGCTTCGTTTCTACTCACAGCATTTATCGCCTTTAGCCCCTGACATATCTATTCACTGTTCTTCCTGTTTTGCTGTAAGGACCAGTGCTTTCTGAAAGTGGGAGGCTTTATTTTGCTTTGCTGGGTTCCCAGTGTTATAAAGAATTCCTGGCATATAGTACCTGACTCAATAAATTATTTGTGGATGTAATGAGTGAGTTACTCAACCAACTTAATCTTTTAAGAAATAATAAATTTTATTTGTTTGACAATTTGTTCCTTTAAAAAAAAAAGGAAAGAAAAGAAAACTACACTGCTTCATTGGAATTCTATTAGCTCT